TTGGGCCTACAGAGGGTGCATTAAATGCCAGCATCTGTGGCTTCCTCCCCATGTCACCTGGGGCAGGTCACGGCCACTCTGCCTCAGGTTCCACACTTGGACAGTGTGATGGTAGCAGCTTCCTCCTGGGGCTGCTGGAAGGTGACACCCATGGCACCCTGTGGGGGCAGCCACCCCAGGCTCCATCGTAGGGTGTCCCAGGGCGCCCCTGCTGGACACCCTCCTGTTTCTCAGCAGTGCCGTGGGGAGGTCAGGGTGTCAGCCTCCTGGCAGAGGTCAGACAACATTCAGAAGGGTCCCAGGTTCAAAGCCTCCGCCCCCCCGCTGTGCCCTCACCCACCTGGGTCACTGCCCTCTCTGCAGAGGCCCACCTTGGGTACATCTTTCCTGAAGACCCTCCAGATGGGCTTCCCCTCCACAAAGGGGAAGCACCCTTGGGTGTCTCCAGTCTAAGAGGGCCCAGCAGAACCATCTGTCCCCTCACCCCTCGGCCACCCATCACTGCACCCCGGGACCTTACTTGTATGCACAGAACTCACAGAGGCTTGGCTCTGGCCTGTCTCCATGGGGCTTCCAGCTGGGTCTGCAACCAGAGACAGCAAGTGAACACAGACAATTGGGGTATCCCAAGCGTGTACAAGCTCTAGGTGCCACTTACTTCTTTAATTCATTTTGTTTACACAGAGAAATACAGAGCAGAGAGACAGGAGTGACATTTAAAAATGGCTTCCCTGGACACACGTGTTGCCAAAGAGAGAAGAAATAATCCGGGGTCAACCTCTGGCAGGTTGCAGTCTCTGCCTTCACGCCCCACGCGCAGACCCACATCTCCTGTGGTTGCCCTTGACCTCTGCCTTTCTCCAGGGAGTGCCAGAGCCCTGCCCAGAGTCACTGACCCAGGCCAGCCCCTCCACCTCGGGCCTTTTCTCCTGGGCAAGCTGGGAGGGCTCAGATGCTTTAGGAGGGGAAACCCTGCACTGGTGGTGAAGCTCAAGGCCCTGAGCCCTGAGCGGGGAACAGTCCACTTATCCACCTCTGTGCGCCTGGGCCCCTGAGGCAAACCTTTCTTTCTCTCCGGATCCCTCTAGTCTGGTTCATTTGCCAGGGAAGTTCTGCCGCTCACTCGCTGTGCAAGGCCAGCCGGGAGGTCCTGCTCTCAGAATTCTACTCTGGTCCTGCTGTGAGTTTTCCCCAAAATGTACCTTCTGAGCAGCACTGGGCTTCCTCTTCTTCCCAGTCTTCAAAGTCCATGTTCTCTCCTGTGTTGTCCTCCAAAAAGGACATCTTCTGTGTTGGTGCGATAACAAGAGGCACTGCACCTGGACAGACAGGCAGGAATCAGCTCCCTGTTGCTCCATGTCCCTGAAGCAGCCTCTCGCCCTGCTGTCTGCTTGGCAATGCTCCCTGCCTGCAGGAGGCCTCACAGAGCGGGACCACACTCTCCCATCTCTCCTCCAAAGCAGCGTGTTCCAAACAGTGGGACACAACTCCAACACGCAGGTCACACTATCACTTCAGTGAATCTTGACAACGTTTCATAACAATGATAAAGAATAAAAAGCTCAACGTGCAGTGCTCTTGGGACTGACACACTATGGCCCACAGGCCAAATCTGGCCCACTTGTTTTGTGGTTAAATAAAGTTTGATTTTCCTCATTTACATAGTGTCTAGTGTTGCTTTGGGGGCTGCAGTAACAGGTGAGTACTTGAGAGAGAGAGGCCAGCAACACCTAACGTACCACCTGAGCCTTTCTGTAGAAGGTTGCTGACTCTGAAGTAACCTAATCTTTACCTAACAGAGGGCAATATCCCTGCAAGATCTTGCCAAGAAACACTCAGTTCCCAAAGGCCCCAGAAAAGCTCAACTCCTGTCTTGGGCAGGTAGATTCCCACTATTTGCTTCACTAGGAGCGTTGGAGGAGACAGAATTATATAAATTCTTCACACCCTATTTCATTTGACAAAGCACTTTCCCCAACATTAGTCCAGGAGAAGAAATGGAGCAAGAACTCTTCATCCCGTTTTACAGGTGAGAAATCTGAAGTTATGTGACTTCCAGGCAGGTACCACTTCCAAGTTTGCGGAGATGGCATTTGGTGCGAAAACCAGATCTTTAGAGAATGGCTTAGGAATGACACCAGGAGAACCAAATTGCTTTGCAATAAATAAAAATGACAAGAAAGGACTCCAGGGCTCAGCCCTGGGGACAGTGAGCAGGAGGGAAGGTGACCACCAGGCAGCTCTGGGGAGCTGGGCGGAGATGGTGGGTCTTTAGGCTCAGCAGTATCTACCATTAGGTTTTGAGTTGTGGTTGGCAGCACCCTGTAGTCACAGAGCACAGCTGCCTTTGCAGTGTGGGGTAAATCAAGGAACGAATTAAGAAGACAGAGAGTTTGACAATACATCACCACAAGACGTGCCTGGCAGAAATGTAGGTGCCCAGAGGAAGGAACGTTACCACAGGCTGGAGGACTTGGGGACATCCCTGTGAGCTGCTTAGGGAATCTGGAACCCATATCAAGATAAATCCAGGAGGCTCCCACTGTACTCCCTGAAGAGGGCATGGACAGGCCATCTGAGCTCTCCCTGTCCCTTTGAGAGCACTCACAGTACCAACTTCCAAAACCTCTTTCCAAAGACCAGTACTTTCTAGATCTGAAATCAATCTTCTCCGCTTACAGAGAAGCTGCTGGCATCATCTGGACTTGCAGGTTTGCTAAGCCAGTGTCCACCCGGCCCTCCAGCAACTCTGTGACACTGGCCCAAGCCGTCCTGGGAGCCTGCTGGCTGCTACCGGTGCCGAGGGCCTGGCGGTCTGGGCATCTTGGAGATAATATTTCTAAAGTGGGGAGAAAAGGAAGGTGTGGCCAGGCTCTGCCACCTACCCATCGTGACAATGGGCCTTGGGGTAGGGGAATGGGTGAAGATCACCTACCTGGCCTGGGGATCGCTGTGGTCTGTGACTCCCTTGTGGACTCCTGGGGCTCTGTCTTCTGTGCTTATAAACCCTGGTCTGGAGGAGCCAGGCTGGTCCTGAATGGGGACGTCAGATTTGGGAGTGGGTGTTACAACGCAATGACGGCATTCCTGCAGCCAATGATAAACAGCTTTCTGGGTCATCAGACACCTCTCATCGCCTTGTGGTTTCCATGCCAATGGTATAAACAATTCCCGTGGGGTGGTGTCACTCTGCCAAGGCCTGTGCCTCATCCACATGACACACTACAAGGCCCTCGAGATGGACTTTGTAGCTGCACACTCTGTCCAACTGTGAAGGGGTAGGAAACAGATGTGAGTGAAGGAAAGAAGAGACACCAGGTCCAGGTCAGCCAGGGAGCCTGAGAGGGTCAAGAGGGTCGGGGAAGACCTCATTCTCACGTGGGTTCTGAGCCCCGGTTCCAAACTTTCAGTAAGCTGAGTCCCCAAGTTCCGGAGGAAATGTCCTCCTCTCAGGCCTCCTTCCGGGTGCACTCTAGGGCCAACACTACCTGCACCTCTTCTCCGCCACTCTTTTTCAAAGGTGACATGCAAGGCATCCCCCAAGCAGCCATCCCTGATGGAGCCCACCAAGGACCGGATTCTCCCTGGAGCCCATTACAATCTTCCTGCATTATCTCGCGTTTTGGACGGCACATGCTCCTGTCTGTTACTCAAAGCCAAACAAAGGCAAAGGCACAGCAATGAGACCTGCTTCTGGACCACGACCCAACCCTCCACAACCAGGAACAGCCACAGTGGTCAGCCATAACCAGGAACAGCCACAGTGGTCAGCCATGGTGGTCAGCCACGGTGCCCTCACTGGACTGACCTTTCTTTCTTTACCTAGAACCTAATCCTCTGACCATCCTGTAGGTAGATATCATCCCTGTGTTACAGAAAAAAAGGCACAGTTTAAGGAGGGTAAGCAATTTACCCAAGGTCACATCCCTAGTCACTGGAAAGAACAGGACTGTCCCTCAGGCCTTTCTGAGCATACTCCAGCCCCGTCTCTCAACTGGGACCAAGGCCTGGGGTCTCCTCCTCGAGTCATTTTCCATGCACACCTTTACATCCACACCTAGGGAAGTGAGTTGGACAAATGGTTTGGTAATATTTCTTTCCTAGTCAGTAGTAGTATAGTGAGTTTTCTAATCAATTTAATATCGTAAACATCATTCCATTTCATCAATTCTTTTCTACACTATTATTTTTAATGATAGTGCTATTTTTAATAAAGTGCCTATTTTAACTGCTAAAGTGTTCCACTAATTGTCTGAGAAGCTGCTAAATTCTTTTTTTAAAAGAAAATATTTATTCTTTAGTTGGACACAATAGTTTTATGTTATTTATTTTGATGTGGTGCTGAGGATCGAACCCAGGGCCTCAAACGTGCTAAGCAAGCACTCTACCGCTGAGCCACAGCCCCGGCCCCACTAAATTCTTAATGAGAGACATTTTGTTGAATACTAATACACAGGGGTACTATGTGTTTATTTGTGGGAGGCCCAGGAAGTGAACAAGGGACAACCAAACAATGGACAGAACACAATTCACCTAATCCAAATGTTAAACATGTCTGTTATTCTCACTTTTGTACCATCATAGGTACGTACATGTGTGTTACAGATTAAGCACATGATATTATGTTGTTACAATATAGCTACGGAGGTAT